TGAAAGGGCTGTCATTGGTCACCACAGTCTGCGCACACTGCAAATCTCTTAGTGGTGGAAGAAAGGCTCTGCCTAGCTTTGCAGTCTCCATACTCAAAGCACTGACCCAGGGGTATTCCCAGACGAGGGACTCCCTGGATGCATGATTCCAAATGTGACTGGGAAGATTGCAGCTCTGAGAAGTGGGAGCTGAATTCTCCATTCCACAGCCCTTGGGCGCAAGTTTCCTTAGTGTTAGCTGAAAAGAGAAGAGTGTTCAAGAGAAAAATCAGAGCACTCCCTATGTAGCATCACTGAGAACAACCACTGCTAATATCTCTGCATTTTAGTGAAATCACATAGTGATCCAGGCACTGACAGGGACATCATGTATACAAAGGTGATGTCATCAACCCTAAGGATGAACATATATAGGTGGCCACAGGGATGCCCCCAAGAGAATAGTCACCCACCTGAACAATACAGTTTTCATTTGACTGATAAATTCATGTCGATAGCTCTACTATTACAAACTCTAGTTCTTTATTCTAGAAAGAAGTTTGTATAAAGGATGCAGATGATGGAAGGGAAAGAATTGTGGATCTCTATCTGCAGAAAATAACTTAGAAAACTACAGCATTTCACAGCTTGGGGAACAATTAAAAGGGAGGCAAGTAACTGTGGAACATGATTCAAGTCATGGACAAGCTTTAGGGCTTTTGTACATTGTGAACTGGTTTTTGTCTTATTTTTGGCCTCCTATCTATGCATATGTACACTATACTGCACTAAAGAAGCTGTTACTGGTATAAGCATGGTAGTAAATTTGCCAGCACCTTAGGTATGTAGTGTACAATATGAATTTAGGGGTTTGGTCTCTTTTTGTGGTACTGGGAATGAACTCAGGTCCTGGCATTTGCTAGGCAAGCACTTATCCTACTGAGCTATCTCCCCAGCCCATGAATTCAGGGTTTCTAAGCAGAGTACTGAAATAGGAAGCTTTTGTATTACAGTTCTTACAATGGGGTGGACAGGTCCCAAAGGTGAAATTTAGTTATATTCTTACAGAGAAGTGAAAGATAATTTCTACTATCTATTCAATAGACAATCGCAGTAACTAAGGGCTTCCAAGAACTTCACACCAGTTCAGATCAGACTCAGAGGTGCCAGAGCCAGCAAGGCCTCCTGTGCATCACTGTGAAGTTCTCTGTCTCTTTCATCGGCACAACCTCATTCCCAGTAATGTCTGTTCTTTTATTGAACGTTGTCTATTTGGCTTTTTCTCAGCTTTATCTGTCTTCCTACAGACAATATTAGACTCTTCTCACTGGGTCTGAATTCCCACTCTGCCCAGCAGCTCATCTGCTTCCGCAATCTCCACACCATTAACTGTCTCAAATGAGTTTTCTTTTCGTTTCTTCCTTTCTTTTGGTTGTGGACTCACTATGTGCCCTTCTGTGATGGTCTCAAAAAAATGGCTCAACCAAGCCTCAGACCTGAGTCGCAAGATTACCTCTGGCTCTAAGGTGCCATCGTCCCCAGGCCCACCACTGTTCTTATTTCAAGTTATCTTTTTATTGTGACCATACAAGTACTTGTGAAAACTTGTATTGGCCATGCAAAGACTAATCCCTTACCACACATTTCTGCTCCTTATTTCTGGCCCCATGCACTTGTCTGACAGCACTGCCCACCAATCCCTTAGAGTAAATGTTTTAAGAAGGCCCCTCCCTGAACCCAGCCAAGCTTCCAGTGCCCGCCTTCATCCACTTCCTGTCTAAAGGGATACTGTCTGTCTGGTGTATCCTTCATGCTTCCTCATAACAAAGTTTCTACATCATTTATATGGACGCTCAGCATGACTTATGAGAGATCCTAGTGTGCTGAAGGATGACACATCTGCAAACAGTACAGCTGTTGATGAGAATGACTGTCACTAAAAGAAAAAATGATCTCAGAGATGGAAAGACCTCACTGATGTAAGAATCTATCTAAGGTCTTCTGGTGCCTCCTGTACTTTCTTCTCAAATGTCTGACAATTGAGTTCACTCTCAACCTGACATACACTGAGCTCTGCGGTCACAATACACAGGATCACAACCGTGCCCAGACAACTTAGAACTTTCCTACAGTGTCTTATTTATCCTCATGATGTAACTAAATTCAACTGCCCTCTCCCATAACCCATTCAAAGGTGTGCAGCTGGATGCCTTTGCTCTATGCCCCATCAGTTGCTGATTTTAACAAGGTTTCTTTATTCAACTGTGTCCACACTTAAACTCCTCCCTCATCTGCTTTCTAGGAACAAAAGCCTGCAGATGCAAACAAGCCCCAGGGAGCCTTGTTCTCAGGTGTGGGCACTCTATTTCACCTACAGCACAACCACACTGGAAAAGCTCTTTAAGAAGCTAGGTCTTTTTTTTTAAATGTGAACACCTCTATCTGTTATAGATACCACCCTGATGACTTTTTGTGGAGATAGAAACAAAGTCAGAGAAATTTGTCCAAGTGCTGCACAATGAAAGTGTTTATGTGCACGTGTGCATACACACACACACACACACACACACACACACACACAAACACACAGTCTCACTATGTATCCCAGACCAATCTCAAACTCCAAGGTCTTCTCCTGCATCAGACTCCTGAATAGTGGGATCAAAGACATGTGTGACCACATTAGGCCCACGATGGATAGCACCATAAACTGCTTGGTGGAAGATGGAAAGTTAGGGCACCTCATTTGGAAGGAGAGCAGTGTCTAAGGAGGCAAACAATGTAAAGTGGAAATCAGTAAATGAAACAAACCTCAAAAATAATTGTGTCAATCGGTGAGCCAGCCTATTGTCCATCAAAGACTAGAGGAAACAGATGCAAAGTAAACTCCCAAGAACATTACATAACAGAAGAAGTGGGCAACCTGCACACTGGTCTCTGAAGCAGCCCTGGGCAGGCAGCAGGTCTGGCAATGAGAGCTCAGGCTCCTGCTTTCCTCACTCACCACCCTGCAGACCTGCAAAGTGTGCAACAAGCTTAGGATTCCCAGTGATGCAGAAGCACAGATGACCTGCAGACAGGCCTGACTCTGCACAAGGTCTGAACCTAAACAGACCTCCTGGACCACCTACAGACATGTCTCTCATGTGACATGGAGTAGCTGAGCACAGAGAGACCTTCATAGAGGACCTATTATCTGTAGGGTGATGTAAGTACTCACTGGACTCAACCACAGCAGAGTGGCCTTCAGGTTTCTGTGATGGGAAGGCCGCACTTCTTACACATTCTGTGGCTCAGCCTCAGCAGGATGACAGGAAAGGAGCAAATAGTTTTCATCTAGTGAATCTAGCCCAAGTTCATTTTCTTCCTCTGCACACAAACTAAAGAGATAAAGTGGAACAATGATAATTGGGATGGACCATAATTCACAGCTTCCCACATGGTTGTCATCAAACCTTTGGGCCAATTCCTGCAGCATTCACAGAAGGCTGAAGGAAACTCTGCAACCCTGCATTGCACATTGCTTGTTTACCCTGAGGATGAGACAGACAAAGAGACCCACTGACTGACTGACAGACACAAACAGAGAAAGACCAACCACTTCTCTGTGAACTGGGTAGACTGTAATGTGATGAGGAAGAATACTAAGCTCTGCCTGGAAGGTAGAGCAATGAGAGGGAGCAGTCAATAAGAACTGCTGACGGGGAAAAATCTTGTGCGTAGACAGTTTTGAGTATTCTAGGGGACCAGACAGCATGGGTTGTTGCATTGTGGGCATCCATAGACTAGGACTTCCCACCACTGTGTCTAGTCAGTTAGGTGGTACATGCCTATAACTGCAGCACTCAAGAGGCTGAGCCAGGAGGATGTTTGGAAATCTAAGATCAGCTCTGGCTATACAGTGAGGTCAAGGCCAGTCTAAACTACATAGTGAGAACCTGCTTTAAAAAAACAAATCTTTTCTATGAATCTTGTGACATGTTATTATTTTCTTTAGTGGATATTTGGGTTCACTCTGCTTTTCTTCTTAGGGCTGACATGTCATAGCCTCACTCCAACAATACTGAAAGAAAATGTGCCATCTTATTGTCATGTTACCCCTCCATGGTACAAGTGGTTTCTTTAAGGGAAAGAATTCTCACAATGTCTGATTCCTATAGGTGACTCACTCCCATTTCCATGGAGAAAACTCTAAGGACTGCAAAAGGGCCAAGGAATCTCTGGAAGAGGGAATAACACAACCACCAGCAGCACTCTTTCTTTCACTTTGAAATTTGCAACGACTTTGACCTCATGGACATGATATTTACACAAATAACTGGGTATCACACTTGCTTACATGCTGCTACTGGAATCCAGACTCATTTCATCATCCTCATCCTCATCATCTAGATTATCTGCAACCAAATTCAAAGCATCCAAGTCAGACATTGTCAGTGCATTTCCCCTCTGGAGAACAGTGAGCTATCTTGTTGAAGAGATAAGTATGACGTGTGTAAGAGGATGGAAAGGTGTTATGTTTGGCTTTAACATGGGGCCTGGCATGATGAACCAGGAAACTGAGGTTCCAATAGTTTGATTTTCTTAGTGGAATGCTCCACTTTTCATTGGGTAAAGAGAAAAAAACTTTTCATTAGTTCAATGAAGAAACACCAGAGAAATGCAGCCAGCCTGGGGTTTCTCCAGCTATATTTCAATCAGGACACAGAGCTGGGGAATAGAGCTAATGGATCCAAAGTCCCGAACCACTGCTCTACTGTACACTCCTCTCTCCTGCTAAGGACAGGAAAAAGAACCCTTGCACACAACCCTCCATGGAACTGTGTACTTTCTAAGATCTTCATATGAGCTTTTATCATATAATTAAAGGAAATTCCCCTATGATGCCTGCTGAGGCTTCTGGTGTTCCCAACATTTCACCACAGCACCCTACTACATGAAGTCCATAAACGAAAATCTCTGATAGATTCAGGATGACCTCATCCACCTGCAATGACACTGATGGACTTCCCAGTTTGAATGCTACAATTGTCATACAGCACATATTGTGAGCATGTTAGAGATGAGGAAGTGAAAATCCAGGCATGATCATTTACACCAAAATTCCCAACAGCTGCATTACAAGGATACCTAGAAAACTGATTCATGAAATAGGCTATTACAAAACTATCATGAGTCTCTCTGACACTCCCACTACCTGGAAGGATACTGGATGGATATTTCCTGATTCCACCAGACACATTTTTATCAGGAAAGAAGGCAATGGTTGGATTAATAATAATGTGTCCTCCACCAAGTGTGTTTGTCCTCTAACCAGATACCAACAAGTCTTTCTTGCCAAGACTCTAAATAAAGGGTACGTGGGAAAAGAATAGATATACAGAACGTGGGCATAACGGTGTCTCTGAGAAACAGGGCAGCTTGTGGTGGGCCAGGGTTAACAAGAGCCTGTGGAACCATTACCTGGCCTAAGTCTGTTGGCAAGGTACTTGGTCAGCTTGCACATCTCATCAAGTCTGTATCTGTCACTCTTCATCTGGCATCTGGGTTGCTCATCTTCAGTGAGGAGACTGCTGAGAATCTGATGGAGTGTGGAGATAGTATGTCTCCCTTCCTCCAACTTCTGCCTTAATTTAGCCAATTCTTGAGCTTGAAGTTCAATTAGAAACCAAAAATCCCTGAGGTGAAATAAAGATGGAACACATATAATGGCAACTCAGGTCCTGACAGCTCAATAGACCACCGAGTGAGGCTATTATGAGCATGTGGTTCTACCACTTTCTAAAGACAACGCTGGCCTATCTTTGGCAACAGTGCAACAGTGTTGGGTTTGTTTGTTGGTTGGTTGGTTTGTTTTTTGTGTGACCTGCTTAGCCTGTCCTTGGGGCAGGGCTGAAGCAGCATGTGGTGCCAGGGATTGATTCATGGTCCCTGCAGTTGCCTAAGCTTGCCTAAGCAGGCTCTTTAGACAGCTGTGCCAATTCATGATCCCTGCAGCAATGCTTTGAATGCTAAATAAACAAGATAGGTTCCATTTTGTACACTGGAAGAGTTCTTTTTTTTGGGTGTTTTCAAAAAGTATGACAAAATGCAATTATCTAGATTTCACTTAATTGTACATTAATTTAATTTCCTTCCAGTTTAAGAACTTTCCAGCAATCACTTCACAGGAAGAAGGTAAGATAAATATGAGTCCCACCTGATTCTTTCCATACAAGAGTGCAGGAGTGACTGAGGACAGTAAGAAACCAGAGGCTTACTCAGTCCAACTCCACAAATGCCTCAGAAAAATACAGCAACTTGAAAAGAGAAGACTGGCCTGGTAGACGGGGGAATGAAACCACTAAAGACAGAAGTTTATGTCTTACTTCACATCATCAATGTGAGTACTTTCCTCTTTGCGCCTCAGTGACTCTGTGTATCTTACCTGTCCAGATCATCCATGTGGGGAGGAAGTTCTTTCTCCTCATCTCCCTGTTCACTGTTTCCTGCAAGGTAATAAATGGACTATCAGAAAATAAGAACTACTGGACCACCCAGGCCTACAGGCAGATGGTGACATACATACTTATGCATGCCTGTAGGATATACTGAGAGTATAATGAACGGTCTACGATTTTGTCTTTAAAGAATTGATCTAGCTTGTCATTATGACCATTCAGAAAAATTAACTTTCAGTCAGGCATGAACATGACAGGATGTTTTGTTCAAAATGCTATTTGTTCCCAGGTGATCACAAACAAATGCAGCTTTCCTCTGGACTCCGTTTGTGTCCAATCAACTGCCACAAGTCTGGTACCCAGGAACAGAATCTGTTCCTCTAGGGCTCCTTCAAACCAAGTTCCACCTTTAAGATGAGGCCACAACCCCCCAAGTCCTGTGACATTCTCAGCACCCTGTGTCCTGCCCAAGCAGATTCTGTGTTCTTCTCCTGGAGGGTCCTCTGTATGGCAAGTATTTCAGAGTACTCCAACACTCCCCAAACTGAATTCCTCCTTGTCAAAATCCTGAGTAAACCCACACTCAGGAATGTATTGCTTTTTTACAGTTCACTAGTTAATTTCCTCCACAGTTGTTGTGATAGCAATCCTTCAAGTCATTGTCATCACTGGACAGGTAGGTACATAGAAATTCTGAGATCAAAACCCACACACATATAAATACAGATAGCAC